CCAACGCCGAGAATTAAAACCGGAAAAAGGAGAAAAAAAAATTCCCGAATCGAACTCACGCCGCGCAAAAATGTCGAAGGCCTCGCAGGGAATTCGCTTTGGAATCGGCGTCTGTATTCTTTATATTCCACTTTTTTTTTTGTGGACGGTCCCAGCCTGTGATGCATTGTGCGTATTTTTAATGTTATTTAAATACATAATAAATCTTTTATACAAATTCTTTTCCGAAGGTCCTGAGGGAGAGAGATACTCAGAGTAAATCATGCCAGCTCCCTCTGCATTAAATACAAATAAATAAATACGAAAATAATTTCATAAATAATATTTAATTGCGGAATTATATATTTAGGGTTTTATTACTATAATACCTATTTATTAAATACACCGACTTATTTTTATATATTTAATTGTAATTAGTCATTGGATTTTCTCCTTCCCTTAATTATGGGGATTTTTCAGAGCTATAATAAAATGCCGGGCCTCAACTTTCCTAATCGCATTAAAGTTCCTGAGTTCCAAGCATCCCCTAAAATATCACGATACCGATTCCGTGACCTTGTTGCCTCGAATCAATTCGAAAAAGGGACTAAAAACGAAGGACGGGGGGTGTATATATCATAATTGAGCCACTCGATTGCCTTGCCTTCCGTTCCATTGTAGTTCCTGTAGTCAGCAGAACTTTTCTCGATTTTCTCCCCGCTTTTCACTGACATTTCCCCGTGCTTTTCCCTGGACTTTCATCAGTCCCTCGTGGGTCTATCTGTCAGCTCACACGATGAGTACTTAGCAGGGCAAAGCGAAAAAAAAGAAGCGATTTGAATTTTTGGCAGCCTCTGCCTTAACCCCTAACAACCTATATCCGTCTCGCTCTATACCTTTCTCTCCATCTCTTTCTCTCTGCCACAAAAAAGAGACGGCTGCATTGTGTTGGAAAGAGAGGCAATGACTGGAGAGACGCCTGTCAATTTTCATTTCCATCACGAGCGCGCCAAAAGAGAAATTTAAATGAGGTAATCTTTTCCCTTTTTTTTTCCTCTCCCCTCCTCGGCAATTCCTTTTGTTGTTTTGCCCGGGCTTAAAGGCGTACGTGTGTGTGTGTGTGTTAGCTCTTTTGCTAATTACATGCTGCTTACCAAGGAAGTAGAAGCGGAAAGGGGAGGAAGGGGGTCAAAAGGTTCAATACGAAATCGAATCAAATCGCTGCAAATATCCGTTGCTCGCTATTAATAGACGCTCATTATTGGCATTTTTGGCATTGGCCAAAGTCAGACTCACACGTCTGTGGGTGTTTTTCTCTACACCCAGAAAAAAAAATGACCTAAAATGTCAAAAAATGGCCTAGAATTTAGGTAAAATTGTCCTAAAACTGGAGCTAAGTCCTTGAATGGCCTAAAATTTAGGATTGTATGACCTAAAATGTTAGGCCATTAATGGCCTAAAATGGGGTAATTTTTGGCCTAGATTTTAGGTAATTGGCTGCCTTAAAAAATGAGAAAACCCCTATCCAAAATTTTAGGCTTTATTTGGCCTAAAAATTTGTACTGAAAAATGTTTCATATTATAAAGTAAATACAGAGAAATTTATAGCTAACTCGAGGTCAATGTCGGCTTAGTCTTCAAGAAGTCGTCATTATTTCAACACACAAAAACGAGCGAAGAGGCTTCACTGTTCAGCAGTGAAATCGCTGTTTTATTCAACGATCGAAGTTGGTTACCATGCAAGCCGCGCTATAACTGGTTGGGAATTATAGCGCCGCTAGAACGGTATCAGAGTTCCGTGCAAATTTATTTAGGTAAAATGCATTAATTTTAAGGCCCACGATGACCTAAAATATTAGGCTATACGGGACCTAAATAGTAGGGCAAATATACAAAAAATTTAAATTTTTAGGCAGTACATGACCTAAAAAGGAACTTTTAGTCCATTTAAAATGTTTTAGGCTATGCATGACCTAAAATGTTGTCCATCATTTTTCTGGGTGTATTTTTCCCGGCAATTGGCAGCTTTTTGGCGCCAATGAAGACAGCCGAATTCCAGTAATAAAGATGCTACAAAATCCTTAGATAGTTTGGGAATGTAGAAAATATAAGTGCTACATAAAAAAGCTTTTTTAGAAAGATTTATTTATAAATAGTCTTTGGAAATAACAAGATTTTGTTACAAAATTCTATTAAACAAAGAGTTTTGAAAATATTATTAGTTACCGGTTTTTTTTAATAGAAAAAATTGAGAATAGGAAATATAAAATGTATTTATATTTTATTTATATTTTAAAAAATATTTTGTTTATTTTTTTGTAAATCTCTCTTTTTTCCGATAGTATCTCTAGCTCGTCCATCAGTATTCCTTTCTTTTTAGCTTGATAAATTAGCGCAGCTTTAAAAAAGTGCCGTCACCATGAATCCTGAGATAAAAGAGACGGGCAATTTCTTAACTTTTAGACATCGTCTTGTCAGGCTCTCATCTCTGGTCCTCGAATTAAGCCGGCGTCTTGTTGCCCACACACGAATAGGATTCTTTTCCCTTCTGCGATTTCCTGATGGGCCTCTAATGCTTAATAACAATTTCATTTACATTTTCGGCACATTTCGCATCGGCTTTTTGGCCCAAGCGGCGTATGCGCAATGTCCCGGAGCCGAAAGGTATTTTATTTTATTTTTTCTACCCATTCTTTTTTCCGACGACCTAGAAAGGGTTTTACTTGTGTAGGTATATTATATGATTTTTCCTCCTCATTTTGAATTCAATTCAATTAATTGACACATTTTTGTTTTTCCGAGTTTTTCTCTTCTCTTTTCTTTCCATTCTTTTTTTTTTGCATTTCGTTTTGGGATTTGCCCCTTCGAGGATATCCTCGCTTTGTCCTAACGCCCCCACAATTTCCGGTACGCTTGGCGGCACTGCAACGTAATTATAATGCACAAAGGCTAATTAAAGGGCGAACGGGGGAATAAAGGTTCGCACAATGTATTGGGCTTCGGATTTGCGTTAAAAATACAAGGTAACAATACCGCATTTGTTTTCCCTTTTTTCAATACAGTGTGTACTTTAATTACCAATAGGGGCTGTCAAGTACATTTTGTGCCACAAAATTGCACGTTTTTAATGGGGCTTTTTCAGCAATATCAGGGGTTTCTTTAATGTCAAACCACTTTTATGGGTTTTTTATTGAATAGGCTTTTCGCTAATTAAATGTGTTTATGGAATTTATGCAATAAATAAATATTTATTAAATAAATGAAAGGGATATTTATGGGATATTAAGGGGTAATTAGGGGTGTATTTAAGTGATATTTATGGATTTTATAAATTTATACCAATATTTACCTGCAAATTAAGATGAGGAGTTAATTTTATCTTTCTGTAAATAAAGAAATCTAAATATTGATTTATATGCATATTTTTCCAACCAATTTTCAACTTTTCTCTGGCCATAAAATTAGTGTGATTATTTAAACATTACACTCATGTAGCATACAGCTTAATTAAATTAAACAAAAAACAAACGAAAACCATTGCAAATGCTTGTATTAATATTTATTTAATTAAAAGCGAAACGACCAAAGAGATTATATTACCCAAAACAAAATAAAAAAAGGGTTGATTTAAACTGATTATCTGCGTGCCTCTCGTATTATTTGAATACGGGTATTAATATGTAAAGCCACAATTCATAACTACTGGCCAAACCATGAATATTTCAATAATCCAGTTGAGCTTTATGGAGCGTCAAATTGATTCGCTGTTCATCTGACACTTTTCAATGTTTTCATGTTTTCATTTTCATTATTTTCCCATCGTCTTTATGTCTCTGCCATTTTTGTTCATTTCTTTTTTTCCATCGAATTTACACAACGCCTCCGTTGGACAATCCGACAATCAAAGTAAACAAAAGTTGGGGCCGCAAAAATCAAGCTCAGCTGCGGCAAACTTTCGCAGTTGATTTAAATTTCTGCTAACCGAATTTGATTGTTGAAAAGTTGCCGCCTGTGCACAGTGACCGCAAAATGTCAACAGCACTTCTCCGCTTTTAAGCTGCACTCAAAGAAAAATTTGAAATATCCAAAACAAAATCGAGGTTTTATCTGTTCCATAATAACAGATCGACAATAATATTGACAGTCCATATTTGGATCTATATTTCCATTGATTCGGCCATTTCGGTTTTTGGTAAAAATATGAATTTTTCCTTTTCCTTTTTTTTGCTGTAACTTAACCAAAAATGATCCTACACCAAAAATACATACTGTTTTGAACAGATAATAAAATAATAAATAAATCCATGACACTTTCCGTGTGACTGTAGAAAAATAAAATTTTCGCCAATTTTCCATTTTTTTGTAAGGGGGTACCTCATGATTTTTTTACGAAAAATGGCAAAAAATAAAATGTCCAGGTTTAAATGCCAATCGATAGGAAATTTAATAACGAGTTCAGAAAGGTATGACAATCCATATTTGATTTCAACATTTCTATTGTTACGGTCCAAAAACGAATTATTTTTTTTATGAAAAATTGGGATCTGATTTGAATATTTTTCTTTTGGTTTTTTTGCTGTAACTTGGCCAAAAATGGTCCTACACCAAAAATACATACTGTTTTGAACAGATAACAAAATATTAAATAAATCCATGACACTTTCCGCGTGATTGTGTAAGAATAAAATTTTCGCCAATTTTCAATTTTTTTATAAGGGGGTACATCATAATTTTTTGCGAAAAATTGACAAAAATTAAAATTCTCAGGTTTGAATGCCAATCGACTGGAAATTTACTAACGAGTTCAGAAAGGTATCACAATCCATATTTGGATCAATATTTCCATTGTTATGGCCAAAAAACGATTTTTTTTGTGGAAAATTGGGATCTGGGTTTTTGGTAAAAATATGAATTTTTTGTTTTTTTTTTTAGATATTTTTTTTTGTATTAAATATAAGTTGTGCTATAAAAGATAGGTTTATTCGAAACATATTACATTTATTTAACTTTGACCATTTCAGAACAATGCGTCGCTCCTCGTTCACGCCCGTCTTCAACCTGAGCACCCAGGAGCCGCTGATCGTGGTGGAGGAGTCGCACACCGCCGAGGATGGCGACGACCTTGAGGGGGCGGCCGGCGGCTGCGATCCGACCGCCGTCGGCACGCGGCGCTCGAACAGCGACGACTCCGAGCCGGACTCGCCGGTGAATCCCTACCTGCTCTGCCCCTTCCCCGACATGCAGCAGAGGCGCAAGCACTCGCTGCCCTCGCTCCAAATCACCGAGGGCATCACCGCCAGCCAGGTGCGCCGATTGTCGGAGGTGGGCGGCGAGACCGGCGGGCTGAGTCCCAAGGAGGTCGAGTTCCTCGCCACGCTCTCCCAGAAGGCCAATCCCTCGGCCGGCGGACGCAGGCACTCGGTGGTGACCATCTCGGCGGTGCCGCCAACGCTATTCGGACGCAATCGCCGCGAGTCCATTTCCGGCGTATCCTTCAGGTAAAAACACTCACTCATATTCGCCATTCGCCCATTCACCATTCACCATTAGCCATTAGCTAGCGGAAGTGCGGAGGTTTCGCGCAGCAGGACACGCAACCGCAGGACCTTTGTTAACGAGTACACTACAAAAATATTAGATACTAAAAAGAAAACCTAAAATGAGATACAAACATTTTAAAATCATTTTTTAATAGTAAAAATACTGGAAAATATACTAAAAAAAATAGTACAAATAAAAATAGAAACAATCCATAGAAAAGAACATAACAGAATTAAGATCAATCTTAATTTATTGGTTTATAAGATATTCAGAGGTTTCAATAAAATAGTACGATGTTCAGTAATTGATTAAAGAAGTTTTTTAAAATTCTAAAAAAAATCTAAAACAGTAGTAAACAATATTTCTCCCTGTGCACATATCCCTCTGTCTGGATAGCTCTTGCCCTTTTCCTATCTGCGACTCTATGTACCGGGCCTAATTGAATTGCGCCGCCGGCTGTTTCCAAGCTTTTGTGCTGTGACAGCAACATTTTGATACCCTAATGGGTGATGGAGGGCGGAGACGGAAGTGGGCGTGGCCAGGGCGTGGAATAGGAAATGGGCGGGATGGGGCGGCAATGACCAGAGGCATAATGAGATTGTCATAAACTGCGACCGGTCATTGCCATATGATGGGGCCCAATAATAATGAGTCCAGCAATCAATGCGGAGATGCAATAAAATCTCTGAAAATTTATAGATAAGTTTACAGCTTGAGGATGATTTCATTTGCTGGCTATCAAGGAAAGAAAATCTTAGAATATTGGCAAAAATACAATTATTACTAGCTCATCTTTCAAGTTGTTCAATCTTAAATCTTAATTTTTTGACAACTTTTGATCGAACTTTCTAGCCAAAAGTTCTGACCATATTCCCAATTCTTTTGGCCCTGACTTTGGCCAAGTTCTGGATGCCCGTGGTGGCTATTTAAATTGCATCCCATCCAGCTTGGCCAGGCCAATAGAGAAAATTCCCCGTGTTGCGTGTCCATTAAACGCCCGTCGCACTTTACGAGCCCAAGATGAGCGGCCTCGGGGACAACGGGGCGTATAATTTATGCTAAAGTGATAACCGCAGACCCATCAACCACTTACTATCGCTGCACATGGATGTGGATGTGGGGACTGGCCAGGCAGTAAAGTACAAATTGAAACAGCTCCTAAAACAGCCTGAAATGTCAAATGGTTTCGCAATTTTTTTTGTTGCTGTTCTTGTCTAGGCACCTGAAGAAGTGGTGATTTAAAATGAGGATTAAAACAAATTGGAAAGGTGGGCAGCATAGTGAAAAATAACTAATAAATATTAAAAAAAATGCAAGCTATATATTTTAAAATAAGAACAGCTAAAATATCACTAAAAACTGGACACCCAAAATTACATTTTTAAGCAATGTTCTTCGTAATCTTTTAGGTGATAATGCTCGTCAAACCAAACACAAAAAATGAAATTGGAGGGTTATCGCATGTAGGGTTGCCATCATATAATTGGGCAAAGTTTTTATGTAGACAATTTTTAAGAAGTTATAACTTGTAAGCTAGTGAACCAATTTTATGGCAATAAAAATGAAAATGGTTAGATTATTTTAAAAAATATTTACAAATTTTTAAATTAAAAAATTTTAAAATATAAAAACTTAATTTATTATTTAAAAATTTTTTACAGTGGCAGTCGCCGGGGCAGCGTCATCGCTGGACCGCCTTTGACCGACCATCGCGGCAGCGTGCACAACTTGCAGCTGGACATCATGGACGGCATCGTGCAGCAGCGGAAGACGCGAAGCGGCAGCGGCGTTTGGACAGCGCCCGTTCTGCAGGAGGCCGACAGCAATGTGCCCGTGCAGACATAAGCGGCTCGAGGATACGCAGGACATCTGGGGGGATGGATGGAGGGATGGATGGATGGATGGATGGATGGACAGATGGATTGGATGGACACTGAGCAATTCAAACAAACGCCTGGATGCTCCGCCACTCGAACTGCAACTGGACCTTTATTAACATTCCGTGTTTTTACCCAACCAACCCACACAACGCTCTGCCCCCTCCGATTTTCCGCCGGGAAATTGCTTTTCGCGGCTGCCGCATAAAGCAAACAAACAAACCACAAAACCGCACGAAAAAAATCGCACGGAAAATGGCAAAGAATGGTGGGCGGGGGAACAGAAAAAAAAACAAAAAATACAGAAACCAAAAATATAAAAAAAGAAAATATTAAACTTCGAAAATGAAAAACTGCAGTTAAACAAAGAGCGAGATGGCGAGCGGTTTTAAGATGAAAAGAATTGGTCGAAAAAAAAAGAAAAACAAAAAGGAAAAGCGGGAAAATACAAACGTAACGAAAAGCAGTCGGTGAAAAGCAACAGAGAAAAACGCATCGCGACCATTTTGATTGCCAGCAATTTCGGTTAACACCTGTGCCATGTGCCACGCCCACAAATGTCGCCCGCCCTCGCCGCCCATCGCCCACATTTACGACTTAAAAAAAAATATGCCACCCCCTTCGTGCAAGGATAATTGCAAATAATATTTAATTGGAGTGTTAAAGAAGAAGGACAAAGGAAAACAAAGATAGCGCAACACACTCGAAACCCTTCCTCGAAACAATGATAATTCCCGAATGGTCAAAAAGGAACAATTACCCAAAGTAAGTGCAATTTCCAGAAACCTTTATCTTTCATTTCGCTATTTCAGCCAACTCATTGGCAAAATGATTTTTGTTTTTATTTTTTCAATTTAATTTACAATTTGTTTTTAAATTAATGCTAAAAAATATATTACAGATATCTTTGTGTTTTTATTAGTTTATTTAAAAAATATATATTTTATAATTATTTATTTAAAGAATGTTATTTTTACTATTATTACTTATTTTAATTTATACTTTGCCTTGAGTTCAATATTAAAATAATATTACGGGTTTTTTCAACTTTTTTACTTTTACAATTATATTCTACAATTTTGTATTTAAAATATATTAGTTTATTATTATTATATATACCTTTCGAAACAATTTCTTTGGCATAAATTCAAACTTAATCGCTTAGCCCACAATTTCCGGCGTAGTTTTTCATAATTTACCACAAATTATTTGGAACCCTTTTTTCGAAGGGGGTCCCCGTTAATTGCAGGTGTCTGAAGTGCCTGGGTAAAACCAGCAGGAAAATTGTATATTTTTTTTCTTCTTCTGAATTTCTTGCATTTTATTTTTGACATTTGTCAATGGGCTGTGTGCATTTTTAATAATCCCACTGCCGGGCAGCTAAACATGAAAAACATAAAAAACACGCACAGCAAACACATACATAATGAAATGCAGCTTTTGGCTCAAGGCCACCAAGGGGTTTGTGGGTGGTTGGGAAAAATGGGGGCCAAGGACGAGGACACAGCATCCTTACACTCCTCCTCCTCCTAGTTCGGCCAACGTGGCGTGTGAGTAATATTCTGCTGCAACAGCTGCATCAATGCCAATGACAATGCCAATGCCATGACCAAGGAGATGGCTCGTGTTTTTAATGGTTTGTCCACTGTCCACTGGCTAATTTAATGTGGGCGTGGCAGAAGGAAGGGGAAGGGAGGCAGCAGCAGCTCTTAATTGAAACGCGTGTTAGTTTGCATTTCATTTCCATTCCACTCAGTCGGCGCCCCGGAAACTAATTATAGAAAATCAAAATGCAATTGCGATTGCGATTGCCAACTGAACTGCGCTTAGCTTAGCCGACTGCCGACGGCCATTTGGTTGGCAAAATGTGGGCGAACATCAGCATTTGTCCTCCTCGCTAAGCACGATAATCGTGCAGGGCAAAATTAATGGCCTGAAATTACCAAGTGTCCTTTGAGCGGAGTGCTTTACAGCTTCTAACAGATGGCTGCAAATTATTAACGATTAATCTCTGCAGAAGAGCTGACTCTACAATTAAGGCATCTAAGCTCTAAAATATACGATTTAATTTTATTTGTCTGTTTTAAAAATTAAATTAAACCATTTTGTAATTATTATGAATTACAATCTGCTGAAGATTTGATTCTACAATATATATCATTTAATATATGTTTTAATTTTAATTGTTACTTTTGCTTAATTAATTAGTTTATTTTGCTGAAAGAAATTCACATAGTTTTGAATTTTTATCAAAAAAAAATATTAACGTTAAATTAAATCAAATCAATTCTCTCCGTTCTTCTTCTAACAGGTTCCATCATCAATCGATTAAAAAGCAAAATACAACTCTATGTAATCAATCTATACTACAACATGAAATTAAATCTATATATTGTATATTCAGGAATTGATAAATTAGTGAATAACTAGCGAAAACGAAGACAAAAAATACGGAAAAAAGCGACTTAAAAATAACTATTTACTTAGGACCTAGTTACTCCTCATTTTTTGGATGTCGTGTAGATTTTTGTGAACCAACAACCACCGCATGGAAGAAACCACCAATAACAGAGATACTAAGATGCAATCCCACAGACTTTTTATCTATGAAACAGAAAGTGGAAATCCTCAGGTGCTTTTTCGATCTAGCTTGTTTTTCCAGCTTACCCGCACACAAAAAAATTTGCTTGGTAAAATAGACCAACAAAGATAGTCACGTAACTATTAAAATAGTTACGTGTATTTTGTTTTTGCTTTGGGTTTGTGTCTTTGCTAATTGTGTGTATTTTGTTGTTGTGAAATGACTATTTACTTATTAGAATTGACAATTTTGCTGGTTGGGGCCTGTTTGACAATTATTACAGTTGATTTTACCAAGTTTTTTTTTTGTGTGCGGTCACCATTTTTAGCCCCCGATTGATTCAATCAACAAGTGCAATCAAAATTCAAGAGAGTTGACAAATGTACCATGTACCTTAAATAAAAACCGAAGTGTAAGACCCAACACTAAACTCTAAAGTGGAGAAAATAAAAACCTTAGGCTAAGAGCAAACGATTTATCGCCAAACCAGCAATAAAACGAAGTGGAAAATCAACTATTTTTGAACTGGGCTTGCTGCTTGCCCAGCCCAGCAGGTCAGCCAGCCTTTAGTTCGAGTAGCCAACCCCGAAATCCGAAGCCCCAATTAAGAAAAAAATATTACTTGCATAACGAAAAAGATTTCATCAATTTTATTTCGGTTTTGTGGCCAGCTATTAGAGGATTTGAAATCACCCGAAAGGTTGTCTAAAATATTGCAATTAAATGTTATTAAATAAAGGGATCTTTTTAGGCATTATTTTAGTTATTTTAATTTATTCAAAATTGCATTTAATTTAGCAGTAATTTATTTTGTCAACAAAATTATTTATATAAAATGTTGTTATGTAAAAATGCGTTTTTTTTTAAATGATTACGAAAAATATTTTAAAGCCTAGACAATCTTTTTGAGTGATTTCAAATCTCTAGAAATTGTTAAAAAAAAAGTTACCCGAAACTTGGAATGGAAATTGAAATTAAAAAGATCATCATGGTCTAAAGTCGATGGAGTTTTCTTTTAAATAAGTCTCGGTGTTGTTATTGCTTATAGAGTAAACATAAACACATAAACATAGGGTATATACGTATATCCCCATCATAATAATATTTAGAATGTACATAACAAAATACTGGAATATTTAATTTTATCTTCGTGTTCCTCTGTTCGAACCGGAAACGAGATTGCGCCTTCTTAGCACTCCAGGAAAATGATGAAAAATGTCCCCGAACATCACAGAAAAGAGCGGAGAGAACTTAAAAACACCTAATACCCAACAAGAAAAATCCCCTTCCTCTATTTTGACCTGAGAAAATGTCGCTGGACGACGAAGGAAAAATACAAAAAAGACGTGTGTGTAAAACAAAACTAGTGAATTTTTTTATTATTAAACATAGTCAAGGATAATCAAGACGAGACGATGGCAAAAATATATATGATTATGAGAAGCCAAGGAGGTAAAAGATATATTTATAGAAATGAACTATATGTATACATACTGACAGATTGATTATATGATTATATAGTAACTTATTGTCACAACGCAAGAGCAATCAATGTTTAACTTTATTAAATGTTACAAAGAGTTTTAAATATTAAAAATATACTTAAAGAAATATATACAGAAGATATGCCTATATATTGCAGATTATATTCTATACATATAATTTGTAGGTCGAGCTAAGATGAATTAAACACTAGACGTACTCGTAGTTCGCCATTATGTTTGCCAAAAAAAAATCGGGGATATATATGTAAACGAAGTTGTGTCAGCCATTACAGAAACTATAGGATTATTTACCAAGAAGTTTCCAGAATCTCATTAAAATCCATTTGTAAATCTATTGTACCCGCCAACCAAATAATCCAGCCTTAAAATACTATTCTCAAAAAAGAACTTTGGAAGGAACAAAACCCAACAATACAAAAGCATTTCCCGGGCTGGCACTCTTTGTGAATTTTTTTTATTAAAAACTCATTTGAAAATCGTTATTTTTTGTGTCCTAGCAATAATGATATGAATACAAATATGTGTGTGTCGCTCTGTCTCTGTCTCTATTGTGTTTGAGATTATTCGTATCTTATAATGAATATTATTACTAAACTAAAGCAAAAGAATAAAGAATAAAGAAACGTAAGAAAGCAAAAGCGGAGGAAAGCGCAGAATAGAATCCACAACAGAAATTAAAATTACTAATTAAAACGATTACTTACAGTAGACTTAAGAATACAAAGATTAAATAAAGAAAACGATTTCCTTAAATTAACATTGGTGTAACATTTCTTGAAAAGCTCCAGAGGTTTAACATAAGCTCTAAAAGGGAAATGGAAAGCTTTTAGTGGATATTTCACCACCTGAAAGAAAGCGTAGAAAGTAGAATAACGGTAAAAATAACGTCACCGTTATAATCTTTCTACACAGCTTAAAGCTCAAAAGCGGTAGCTTTTAAAAGTAGTAAACGCTCAAGTTTATTTTTGGCAAAAACCAGTTATTAGATTTAAATATCTGCTAAAAGCCTTTTGAATATTTAAGCTTTTATTTTAAATAATATAAATGCTTTTGTTTTAATAAATTAAAATAAATATTTATGTGTTTAAACAATTTCCTAGGGCTGACGTGGAAAATTTCTTGCTCCATAAATAGAAATCCAGTTAACAAATATTTGCCGTGTTAACCTGTCAAACTTTTCCAATTATTCACATGCACCTGTTGCCGCCCAATAATTTGCCTTATATCATTTCCGTTGGATCCAATTACATATCCGGAACAATAGTTAAAACCAATTTGGAGACAAAATACACGATGGACTACGCGATAATTCTATAGAGATCCGATTAAAGGGAGCAAATGTTGTGTAAACTCAGTTACTATTTGCGTAGTATTTTAAAATTTTATAGTTTTTAAATATTAAATAGTTATTTATTAAATACTTTACATTATATATTAAATAATATGTAAAAAGCCTCTCCCTTAGTCAAAATATATACTTTTCTTATCAAATCTTTGGCTTATCTCAAAAAATGTTAAATAAAGACCAATATTTATATTTATTTACTTTTGGCTGTGATGAGCAACACAACTTAAAATGTTTGGGACTGCGAAAACTGAAAATTGAAAACGTTGCATATGATGAACATTAAGTCTTTGAGTTTGGGTTTTTTTTTTATTTATTATTTGTAATAATTGTGCATAATATCTGTGAGTTTCAGTCATTTATTAAGCAGACAAATCGAGCTAAATTGCGATCAAGTGAGCGACCTTGGCGCGCCGCCACTCGAGAACATGCTCAACGGCTGCTTTTGGATGGTTAATACATTTATTTTGATTATTTTCGGGCGGGTCACGCTTTCGCCAGTGACCCTGGTCTTAAAACGCGCGAGAATCTCTGGATAAATAAATAAGAACTGCACGCTTTTGAGTTATGCATGAAAGGTGGTTTGCTTCTTTGTTAAATACATTCCCCTCCACACTCAATAATATATCTTAATGATAATGTTTTTAATTCGAATTCTGGAATAGGGCTTGGGGGAATTACGCTACCTTAGCGATAACAAAGTTTCTTAATAATCCGTAACGTTCGGTGATGTCTCTGAAAACGATCTGGCTGGGACTGGAAATGCATTTGAATCGTATAGGGTATATTTTTCTACTTGGCCACCTGATAGGCGAAACAGCTTTCCACCGTTAAAAAGCCTCAAATTGTCCGATTCCCATTCCCCGTTCCTAGAATGCGGAACGCCAGAAGGTAGGGAAAAGTTTTTAAGAGCCGAAACAGCTGTTCATTTGGTGACTGACTTGCCGGCAATTATGGCGATTTTCCGCGGAACGAGGCGGTGAAAAGGGTTCCTCAAAATAGTTTCGATACACTCGAAAAGTGAATAGCCATTCTCTTACTAATCTTTATGAATTACACTGTAACTTCCTTATTAAACTGTAAAACAGATTTTGATTTTTTCAACAAAGAAAATTGTTAAATTAAAAATGTTTCGCAAAGTGGTTGTATCAATTATATTATATTACATTACATTATTTTTCTTTTATCAAGCAGAATAAAACTTTAACTTTTAAAGCATATTATTTTATAACCTCACCCTAAATTAAATAAATACGTATCCCATTATTGTTTTAATTTACATAACACTCGGAAGACTTTGAATTTTCCCAGAGGACCCAGGCAACCTGTTGAAGGGCCGGAAAAGTTGCAACTCGAGCCGCGTTTGCTGCCAACATCGAACATGCAATTGTTTACGTGCCGAGATTTCGCCTTCGAAAAGAAAAATAAACAGAAGTCTCTTCTGAGAAAGGTATCATTTGCCAAGCGACAGTCGACAAAAGTATACACATATGTGTATATAAACATAGGCATATGTATACCCACCTACCCAAGGAACAGCGAGTCAGCAGCTTAAGTAGCTGCTCTAAATAATAAATTCAATTGTAATCAGAATCGTTTATGTAAATATTCAAATCGTCAATTTACCCGGGGTGCCCGGGGAATATTGTCCTCCAATAATCCGCGAGGCGGGGAGAGTGGGGGCCTGGAGATATGGAAATATGGAGATGGCGGGGCAGATGCAGATAAGCACCCCATTAAGGCAACAATAAACTCAACAAGTTGTTCACGAAAAGGAAAACTGTCAATTAGAACCACGCACTGTGGCAGCAACATGTTGCTGCTGAATGAAAACACAACATGCAACATGTTGCATGTGGCGTTGTGTCACAGGTGTAGAGGGGGGCTACTTCTTTTTAGGTGCATGTAATATTAATAAATATTTGAACAAGGATATTGGGTGTACCAAAATTCTCTTCGTTCGTACGAAGCAATTTTAAATAATTTAATTTAATTTTTTGGAATGTGAAAAAGTTTTTTATCTCTTTTTGTTTTGTAAGCACAATAATTTTGTATTTTACAAATAGTAAAACGAGAAAAACTGAAACAAAACTAAGGCTAAAACTGTTTTTGTTCTATTTAGCTTAGAGAGAATTAAACAGTGTTTAACCATTATCCCCTAACTTTTCGACCCTAAAAACTTTAGGTTTCTACGAATCATCAAATAAATCCATAACATTTAAATTAGAAAATGTTAGATTTTGTCTTGGTATAATTTTCATTAAATTGTGTTTAAGCTACTTGCAAAATAAGTTTTTTTAATTCCAATTGAATTTGACTCTTGTTAACTTATTTAATGAATGGGCTATATTTCTGACTCTTATTTAAAAAATTAATATATATATTATTTCGATGATATGGTAACTGTAAGTTGATGAATATGGGTTTATTTTCTGGAAAGACCCCCCTCGAAAGCGGCGCTCCTACTCCGATGGAGTCAACGCAACATGTTCGGCGGCTCGTCGGCCAGCTGGTTGGATGTTCGATCGGTCGGTTGGCGGGGCGCCTTGGCTCCGCTGGCATCCGCTGGTCAGTCGCTCAGTCCCTCAGTCGCTCGCGGAGCGTCGTCGTGAACGGTCAGCCAGCGCGGCTAATAACTAACTAACTTTGGTGACAGTGCGCCATACTGACTCTGATCCGAACCCGAATCGAGGCCCACAGCAGCCAGAACATATTACCAACAATATATCAGAGCGGAAAGTAAACGGAGCTACTCTGAACGAAAGAAAGACCTTCTCTAAGATAAATCCTGTTGAGTGTTTCGAGTTTTTTTTCGAGTGAGTGCGGTAAATATTTCTTAATTTTTTTGCTGTGCAAGAGAAAAGAAAAAAATGTATAAAATAAAAACCAATCAGTGAAAATCAAAATCGCTAAATATCGAAATAGAAAATATGGAACATAATTCGAATCGCAGAAAAAAAAAAAAAAACGCAGGCCAAAACGCAAAACAAAAGGGGCAGACAGAAAGAAAGCGCTTTTATTATTTTTATTTAACGATTTTTCTTCTTGCAATTTTTTGTTGTTTTTGTATTGTTGTATTTTGCACACTTTGTTGTTGGGTCAGTTGGCGGCTTTCGCCACTTTACGAGCAACTTCCTTTTTTGGCCAGAGAAAAACCAGTCTGGCCAAGAGACCTCTGGCCAAAACCAAAAGGCGACGACGACGGCGGCGGTCGAGGGTCCAAACATTGCAAATGTAAACAAAACGGCAGCGGCGTATTTGTTTATGACTTGGCCAGGATAAAACCCAGAGACTTTGAGACCAGACCCTCAAAATGATTTGCTACGACTTCCCATTCTCAAGTTCCTCGCCTTTTCCTTGCCCCTCCGGTTACCGCCCGGTTACCGCCCGGTTACTTCGCGGTTACCCCCCGGTTAAAAAGCACCCGGTGAAAGTTTCCCAGTCGCAACTTAGAACTCTCTTCATTTTCGGGTTTCTTTATTTTTTGCTTGATAAATGAGTCGCTGGCATGGCCCCCGGGGCGGTAAATCATCTCTGCTTGTGGCACTGACAATTTCACAAATTTATATATTTGCCACAACACACCGAAACACTCACAGTCGAAAGTTTTCCACTTCGAGAGCAAATTTGACTAGCTGGGAAAAGTCCAAGTGTAAAATTGGCCTGAGTTATTACAAAAACCAAACAAAAACGAATAAACCAAATATTCGAAAATATTTCTAGAGCTATTACTACTTCCGAAAACCATTCGTTATGCATTCACATGGAAAATCCAAAATTATTTTATGCGAGACAATTTTTATTCGAGTTTTTGTTAGTGGCTTCCATCAAACTTTCTGGTTTAATCTAGTAAATATACACTTGATCTTTTGTTACCGACAAAATTCAACTGATAACTTTATTATAAGTTGGATTTTTTCTGATGAAAATTGACTTATAAATTTTGTGAATATTTTTAGGCAGTTAATATTCCTGCACATTTTTAAAAAAATTAAAAAATGTTCAAAACACTTTTGAAATGTTTTTTAAAGACTTTTAGGAATATTCCTGAAAGATCTCACATTCTATTTATTTTCTTATGTTTTACCAATGCAAAAATTATCGCTTAGATATCGATGGTATGTGATATTGATACGTCGGTCGTAGCCCCATACTAGTTCCCTAGCAACTGGAGCTCCCAATTTAACTGGTTCCCCCGCTCGAGAATTCTCCATGTCTCCATGGGCTCTCGATTTTTTCTCCGCATTTCGCTTACTCCGCAACTCACATCGAATGGCAATCTGGAATATGCCAGGCAGATCCAATTGCATGCCACATATGCAGATGTAATGGGAGAGTCCCCCTGCCACACGTAACCCCCCTGGAGACCCCCTCTAAAAGAGACCCCCGCTAACTGTACCACCGATCTGCTTGCCTCATTGCCGGTTAGAAAGCCAATGGAACGAGTTTCGTTGAGTGTGCAACTAATTTTCTAAATTGTTGTCGCTGCTGATCGTTGAGCGTGGCAAAAAAAAAAATACACACATTATTTATATGGCCAACGTCGCACAAAGAAAATACCTGTCACCAAAATTGGTCATCAATTTGGTGTGTGTGTGTGTGTGTGTTTTAAGCTGTCTAGAAAAACGCTTTTATCAATGACGTTTCAATCAGATCTTCTCTGCAAAAAAATATGATTTACGTAGATAAACACGTTATGATCTTAGTTGGGGGTGATTTCATTTAGCTTGAACGTGTTTTGATCATGATAATATTTTCAATATAGTGTGCATGATTCATAAGCTATTTTAATAAAGTTTTTAAAATATGCTCAGAATATTTATGAGATTATTTTTTATGTAGGGTGAATGCGTATAATCGACTATTGAACTTTTCCAACTAGGGGTTCCAGTTATAGAAGTATTTGAATAGAAATCAATATTTTTTGATATAATGAATATTGACTAGTTCCAAAACGATGGTTTCCATAAGCCGGCTGGGAGTGGGTGATATTGCCGAGATATTAGATCCGATATCACTCATTCATCATTGCGAAGATCGAACTGTCATTTATGCGATTGATTGATTGAATTTTAATAAAATCTTTGAATTCTGATTTATTTTTTTGATTGGGTTCTTCTTCTTGGGTAGCAGTGCGTCGTCATCATTTAATGGTGGAGAAAGAAGAAGAATTACCAGAACGAATCCATAGAAGACAGGGAGAGAGGGCTATAAAATGAGAGAGAGAGAAGTTAATGGATTAGGAAGCGAGCACAAAAGGCAGCCAAAACAAGAAGAAGAATCGAATCTCGGCTACTTGCGACACTCGCCCTCTCCCTCCCACTCCCACCTGAAGAAGGTGGGCCAGAAAGAGAGGTGGCGAGCGGGTGAGAGCGAGAGCAAGAGTAAGAGCGGAATTTGATGGCCAAAGGAAAGGTGAAAAGAGGCAACTTGGCTTAGACGATGTGTGTGTGTCCAAACAGGTATCACACACACTCACACCTGTGTGGAATAACTAAGCAGCGACCCGATTTTCAAGAGAGAGAAAGAGAGAGAGGGAGAAGAAACCGAGCCAAGAATCCATGCCATGCGCTTGAAAAGTATTACAAATCCATAACAAATCTACCACGAATCTACAAGCCACCAGAGATAATAATGAAGATCAAATTTATTGGTACTAACCACATATTTCCAGTTTTCTAGAGTTGGGGTATTAAGACAGCTTCTTTGGGACATGTGCTTGATAAGAAAATGAGGATTTGAAACCTCCTTCTGAAGAATTCTTTAAAGCCAACAACCTATGGATCTCGCTAACTTTTCTTATCAAAATTCACGTAATTTTATACTTTAAGAGATAATTTTTATAAGAAATTAATTCTTAAATGTTAAAAAAAAAGAAAAAGATTACTGATTTTATATTTGATGAGTTTCGAAACTGTCTTATATTTTTTTAAATGCTAATAATCTCTGTTATAATATAAGTGATTCTTTAACCCTTTACAAGTGTTAAAAGTGATTTGAAAAAGGTTTTTGATTCTCCTTATTAGTTATTTCAATTCCGATTGATGGAATTCTATTTTTGGGCCCGCCAACTCAAAGAATTTAAGCCCTGTATACGTATTTCTAAGCTATATAGGTCGAAAATCGGTATGCAAAAACAAGAACAAGTAGTCTTCATATGTAAAACTGTTCTCATTAAGTTCCCGACAGATCATAATGATGTTTCGTCTCCCTCTCTCTCTTTCGCTCGCTCTGTCTCTTGTGTACTTGTACGGAAAAAAAGATTTTTTTTTGTGATTTTGCCGGTTGCCACACCTGAAATTCAACTCTCTCTCTCTCGCTTGCGCCAACGCAGCAGCAAGAACAAGAACGACCAAAACGAAAGACTTGAACGACATACGTGTCTCGCGCTGACGTCGCCGCTCTCTCCCTCTCTTTCACCCATGCTCTCTCCCTCTCTCGCTCAGCGATTTCAGAGCGTGTGTTTTTTTTCAGTTGGTTTCCAAAGGCGCGCCGTCGCAGTTCGAAAAACGCGGCTCTCGCCAGCGAATAAAAAACAACCGCAATTAAATTTAAATAATTACAAAAGAATCACATAAAAGCCCCGACAAAAACGCGCTCGTTAAATAAATCGAGAAAATTTGTCCCTCTATTCAAAAGGAAAACGATTTTTTTTCAAGTGCTGCCAAAGTTTGTGTTTTGTTCTCATTTATTTTCTGTTTTTGTGTTTGCCCTTTTGCCTGTTCCGTTTTTCGGTTTCTGTTTTGGTTCTGTTTTCCCACATTTTCTCGATTTTACCTGTTGTTTTGGCCTGCAAGAAAGAAACAACAACAAGAAAGCAACAACAGAAGGATCTATTTAAGAAAATTTAAAGAAAAGTGCCAGTACAAGGATTTTCGCTCTCTCTCTCTCTCTCTCTATCGCACTGTGCCGCTCTCGCGCTCTCACTCTCTCTCTCTGGATTGGATTACGCTCTTCTTTTTGCCAGTGACAGGTAAGCAAAAACAATAACAACCAGAAAATCAGAAGAAAAAAAAAACAATTTTCTTGTAATTTTAATTGGAAAACGTGTTACGTTGCACACACACAAAAATGTGAGAAAACAACAAAGAAAATCTTTTGGAAAATGTTAGGCAAACGAAGACATGTGAACCAGAAGAAGTGGAAGCTGTCGCTTGCCGGTCGAGCGGTAAATTAAGCTGTCCTCCCGCACATCCCAACCCCCCCATTCATTTTTCGTACTTGCAGTACCATCTGTAACTCGGGTTCTATAGGCACTCAATCAGCCAGTTTTGGTATGCAGACCTTTTTTGAGCTACCCAATCATATTCTTTAAAACGAAGACAATCCAACTTGAAGTTCCGAGTCTATCTAGTATCTTACATTAATTTTACCACAGTATTACAGTTTTTTAAGGCATTCTGGTACACATATAGAATTAAGAAACGTATCTTCAAGTTGCTTTTCTAAGACTCGTTCTAATTTGTGGTTGTCTGCTTGTTTAACTTAACTTTAGTGGCATTCCCTTAACGCTCATCAACCCGTTTGTTGTTGGTCTGCATTTTCTGCGTTTTTCAGTTTGGCCCATACCCTCTGGGTTTTCCGACCCCTCGACGCCCCAGGAACTTACGGATTTTTCCCCTTTCGTTCTGTCTCATTGCCTTTTTCTTGTTCGCCGTCCTTTTCCTCGATGGCAATGCATTCGAAACCAGATCTTACAAGATTTTTTAGGGGGAGCCAGCATCTTGCTGTCCTTTTTTGACGTCTTCCCTCTCCCTTGCACTGCGTGTGTGTGTGTGTGAAATGTTTTTGTTGTTTGTTGCCGCTGATTAAATTG